CCTCCCGAGCTCCCTCGCGTCCAACCACACCAAGGCCAGCACGTCCTCCCGCCCCGGGCGGGCAGCACGGGCCCACCGCAAGGCACACCCGACGACCACCGCCCGTCCCGCGCATCGCTTCCAGGCCCAGCGTTCACACCCGCTCGTGCAGCGCAAGGCCGCAGGCACCGAGCAGCAGCTCAAGGGCTCTCGCCCCATGTTTGACGTCGGTTCCGTCACCTCGGACGGGTCCAAGGCCACGGGCGACAGCAGCTTGACGCGCGCGCAGGCGGTCCAGGCGGAAAAGCCCCGCCCGAGCGGGTCGCGTTCCCGTCTCCCGTCCGCCCCGTCCACCACCGCTCCCATCGCGCCCGCTCCGCCCCCGGCGCGCCCTGCCCCATCGCACAGCTCGTCCGAATACGAAACGACGACGGACACGGAGGACGACTCGTGGGCGTCGGACGACGAGGACGAGCCGGAGCCGAGCAAGGAGGAGATCCGCCTGCGCGAGGCCGCGCTCGAGGCGCAGCGGCAGCGGGAGCTGTTCGTCAAGCAGCCCAAGCGATCGTACTCGAACCTGAACCGGACGCAGTCCGGCCTGCTTTCCGCGTTGCTCAACCCGGACCCCAACGTCCTTCCGTCCGGCCATCCCCTCCGCAACGCCTCCTCGCCGGACGTCACGCGAGGGTTCCAACCCGTGCGCCCGCCGATCCCCGCCGCGCTCACCTCCAGCCCGTCCTCGACCGCGCTGCCCCAAGTGTCGAACATCACCGCGCGAGCGCCCTCGTTGCCGCCGTCACAGCCACAGCCCCAACCCCCACCACCGCAGGCGAACGGGGGATACCGACCGAAAGGACGGCCGCAGGGCCAGGAGATGGAGGAGGAGACGGACACCGAGGACGAGAATCCGGACGACAGCATCCAGGTCTCGCGCAGCCTCGCTCAGCAGAAACTCGCCGCGCTCGTGGACCCGACGCGGCGCCGCCATTCGGACCGCGCGGGCGGGTCGGAGGCGCAGGTGCGTCCTGTGCTGCCGAGCGTGGCGACGGCGCCGATCCCGTTCAACCATCCGTGGAACCTGCCCGCGCCGGCGCCGCCGATGACGCCGCGGACGACGCGCCGGCAGATGCTGTCGACGGAGCTGAGCGAGAGCCTGCGGCGGAATCTGCTGTGGGAGCGGCAGGTGAGCAAGACGAATTTGCTGGGGAACGGGGGGAGGAGAGGGGGGGTGTTGGGTGGGGGGTTGAGGCCGCTGACGTCGACGACGACGACGACGGTGCATGCGCATGGGAGCGCGGAGGAGACGGAGAGGCCGGGTCAGAGTCAGAGGGGGGAGAATAGCCGGAGTGGGGACGAGGAGGACCCGGCGCGGGCGGAGAGGAAAAGACAGGTGCTGGCGAGGAATCGGAGCTGGGCGGACGACTATCACTACGCGGGGTGGTAGTGCGTTCTCCGACTTCTCGTTGTTATTGTTGTTGTTCGCTGCCGCCCGCTGTAGGTGTTGTTGTTCGTCGCTTGCCTGCTTGTGTCTTTTTCTTCTTCTTTTCCCTCCTGGTTTGAACCCCTCTACGCATTTTTCACTCCCCGCCCTCCTCATATTGCTTCACACCACACCACACCACACCACACCACCCCCCACGCTCTACCCCTCACCTTTTTTTGTTCATTACGTTTACGCGGGCCTTGTTGGTTGTACTAGGATAGCATACTCATCTTACTTTCGCGCGTCTCTTCTCTTGTGCCCTCTCCCTCCTCCGCCTCGGTTCCACCTTCCAACCTGTCCATATATGCTTTGCTCTGTCGCACCCCGCTGCGCGCCGTCCCCGCACCCGCATCCATCGATCCTTCTCCGTTTCCGTCTCCTCATCCCTTCTCGACTCGCATCTCCTCATCTCCCCATCCTCCATCCTCCATCCTCTCTCTCTCTCTCCTTGCATCGGCCGCTCCCGCTCGGCGTGTACCACGTTTGTACTTCTATACCTAAGTGCCCCCCTCGATCCTATCGTATATAATCCGCCCGTCTCCTCGTTCGTCCGCATCTGCATCCGCATCCACACACATCGCACACACGCCGCCGCTCCTCCTCCTCCTCTCCGTCCGCATCTTGCATTTGCATTCCCCCCATCGGCTCTGGTCGCAAGTGGCCCTGCATCGTCCGTCCGTCCGCCCTCGTTTGCTCTTCCCTTCCTCTCTCTTCGCTTCACCCGTTCCCCGCGTCCGCCTTTCTTTTTTGCCCGCGGCCCCCCCCCCCTCCGCCCGTCGCCCGTCCGTGTACTTACTGTACGTCCCTAAGTTAGCCCTAAGTTGCGTTTTTTTTTGCTTGGTTGGTTCGGTCGTGTGAGCAGGACGCGCGACCTCGCCTTGTCTAGTCTGGGAAAATATGGAAGGGCGTCGAAAGCGACCGGTTGTTGAGGTCAGTGGTATTTGTGAGTCAATTACTTGGATCACATGCGAGACAGGACCAGATCCGACTTGAACTTGAACATTGTTGCTTGCAACACTAGCAGCACGCGCATTTATTGAAGAATGACCCCATCGCAAGCCACCCTCAGTTCCTGTAAGCACAAACGACGACCGTGCGACAGGGTATGCCACCATCTATGCGAATCAATGCGACCAATGTCCGCGCCTCCGAACGGATTCCCAAACCCCATCACGTCTACGCCATATTCGCTGACGGCCTGGCCGCGTGCCCATCACTGCCCACCGACGCCTTGAACGACGCAGTGTTTCGTCGCCCGCGCGCTTCTCACGCACTGCCGCCGTCGACGACCCCCTTTTCCGCCATCTTCCGCGCCGCGCTCTCCTGCTTGACCTGCCTCGGGAGCAAGCCAAAGCCGAGCCCGTACAGGGCCCAAAAGATCTACAGAAAACCCCCCGTTTTCCCGTCAGCTTCGCCCTCGAGAATCGAGACAGGACCGGCGCAGGCACGCACGACGATGAGCGCCAGCCACGCCCGCTTCGCCGCGTCGGGCACGGGGTGCAGGTTCCCGGTGCTCTGCGCCCACTCGGTGTAGAGGCCGTAGTGGACCTGGAAAGTGCCGAGGGCGAGGAGCGCGATGCCGAGGGCGATGTGGACGTAGTTGCCCGGTGCGCGTCCGAAGAGCCGGAGCGGAAGCGGGAGCTTGACGGCGTGGATGAAGACGCCGAGGACGAGCTGGACGCAGTAGAGCACGAGCATCGCTAAGCCGACTTTCTGCGTGCGGCGCGAAGGGGTCAGGAAGGGGGTTCGGGAAACGGCGACGGCGCGAGGACGGTAAGTACCTTGTGTGTGTCGGCCCAGTGTCCGCCCGTGAAGCCCGCGTCCGTGAACCGGTACCCCTTCGCCCAACCCGCCCAGAAAACGGGGGCGGCGACGAGGAAGTTGAGCACGGCGTGGGGCAGGAACCAGCTGTGGCGGTCGGGGGCTCGGTTATGCGGCAGGAAAAGAGGGGAGGAAAGGGAGGAGGACGGACTGTTTCGTGAACGTGCGCAACCAGCGCGCGGTGAGGGTGCCGAGGGGGATGAGGACGAGCCAGGCGATGGAGGCGAGCAGGGCGTGGTCTCGGACCAATCTTTCGGGGGCGGTGAGGGGGCCGGGGTTGAAGCCGGGGAAGGACGGCGTCGACATGGTGTGTGCTTCGGGGGGTACTTTCGACGAAGGGAAGGCTCGAGGTGGGGTGAGAGACGGGAATATGCTGCGCCAGAACGGCCTGTATATAAGTCTTGCAGTTGCGATATGTGCATACCACTGTGGGCTGGGCGCGCGCTGCACCGCATCGCGATCAGCGTATGCCCAGGGGAGGGGGAGGCGAAGATACGCACGTACGTCAAGCCCAGGACGTCATTGGACTTCGTGAGCGCTTCGGCGGTGGGCTGGACGACGGTGTCGATGTCGGGCAGCACACGAACAATGGGTTGTCTGACGGTCGAGGCGGCTTGTGCGTCGACGCTTGGGCCAGTTTTGGACGGCGAACGATGCGAAGGGGGATATGCAGAAAGACGGAGACGGTGGGCGCACGAGGGAGATGCGCTCCGGGCGTGGGACGCGGTGGCGGTCGGGGTGGTTATGCCGTCCGCGTTTTTGGTGGGAGTTTTCTGTGCCAATGCGGAAAGGCCTTCTTACGGGTCGGGATGAAAGCTGCGCAGTGCAGTGCAATGTGCGAAGCCGTCAGCGTAAGTAGACTTCCGAGCGAGGATCGTGGCAACTGGCACCTTGGTACTTACGTCGGTGTGTAGTAGAGTACTTGCACGAGAACGTCCGACCGTCCAGCACCACTGTCGGACGTACACGATTCCTAATAGGTGGTTTTATACTGCAACAACTATCAGCGAGTATGAAGGTGAGAACGGGTATCCTGTCGATGGGTCGAACACGCACCCTCGCCCCCGCCTGTTCGGCATATATAATGTGGATGGCCCTTCTCACGGAGATGATTCTGCTGATTGGCTTCACGCTCACAAGTACACAACTTACCCGAAGGGCTCCATTCGGGTTAGGTGCGCAGCCGGTGGAGGAAGCAATACGACATGAGGCGTTCTAGAGTAATCAATCCAGAGGTCAAATGAGCGTCACCACGAGCACAGGAAAAACCAGGATGTGATGCGATTTTGAAACGGTGCGGGGATGGCCATGGCCCATGGGAATCGGACTCGAGGAATGCGTGAAGGCAGACACTGTGGGTGGAAGCGGGGAAAGAGATGGTGGGAAAAAACAACGGTGAGAAGTTCGAGTTACCGTTGCGAGTGTCTCTTGACCGAGTCTTTGTTGGGCTTGGGATGCACAAAGACAGAAAAATCCCGAAACTGTGGGTCCCAGTTAATTTGGTGTCCAGTCTGAGGCTGAGGTCTCCAAACCTTGCAAAAAGTTGAAAATACGGTGGCACGTCTTGGGTACGCCCTAGTCTCCCGTTGCTGACCTAACCAGAAGACAGTCGTTCTGGTATAAGGGTACGCCCTGGGCCCCTACGTAGTACGGTACCGTACTTACTTATATGTAATATGAGTCAATTAATAAATTATCCCTTGAAGGTTCAAAAAGATGCTAGGACTGTGGATTGAACACGGGACCTCCAGAATGCAGAATGATCTGACTTCAGTCTGTTGCTCTCCCAGCTGAGCTATCCCGGCTGTTGACGTGATAGCCTAACGTGCAACCATGGCCTTTGGCCTGCTCATGCAAACGACGATTGTCGTTGACTACCGAACGGCGAAGACGCATCTCCCATCTTTCCCTCCCCACCCTGTTGGGTATCTCATGATGGTATCGTATCTCGGCTCGACGATAGTGCTGTCGTAACCTGGGAAATGACTCGGGACTGGCTGTCCTGGCCCCGAATAGCCCCGAATCCGCCGATGTCGACGTAGTGAACACCCGAAGTACTTAACTGGCATGACTTGAGTTTCATGGACATGGACAGGTGCTAAGCAGGTTAGGATTGCGTCTGATGTGAGTCCCAATCCTGTCTAGCGACGCTCTTCGCTGACCTTGTTGAAAGGCGTGTGCTCGTCCCTTCACTTTACACGGTGTGTATGTTCGACGGCCGGTCTGCACCCTTTCCCCTCAATTTCCCCAAGCACGATATCCTCGTTACTAGCGTCTGCCAAGGCCGGCTCCCCCTCCGAAGGTCGACGTGTCGGCCATGGTCACGTCGTTCGTCCGCATGGTCATATACCGGAGCACTCGCTGAAGTTTTCCATATCGTCTCTCGCCGATAGCGATGAGGTGGGCCGCGCACCGCGTTCGTGGGCCCCGTGAGCGCAATGGAAGGACGCTCGAACCACGAGATGTTCACATCGTGACTTGGGGACACGTTCTCTCATGTTTTCCCCCAAACTAACATGGACCCTCGAAACATACAGCCGTTCCTCCATATCGGGTGCACTCTGTGGATCCTCCCGCTACGGCCCTCCCAGACGTTGTCCGTTTCGTCCGAGGCAATGATGCAGGATGCATGAGAGCCCATCCGTGCGAGTGCAGAATGAAAACGGTGCTACCGCTCGATGCTGCTCCTTATCTTCCCGCTCCATCGTCGGATCTAGCGAGCGCTACAGCGTCACAGACGCGAGGCGACTCGGATTTTGTTGGATGAGACAAACCACGTCGGATGCCCGGTATTCACCCCGCACAACATCCAAGGAAGATACACGACTATTCCCCTTTCGACCATCACGTCTCGATGATATCCGGTCGCAAGCTGTGGATCTGACGCCTGGATATGGACCCGACCTTCCAGAAGTAGTTTATCGTCTAACTTTTGTTTCGGCCCCTTTCTCATTCTCTCCTTTCTTCACTAGCTAGGTACTGGTACCCGATGCCAATGGAGCGCGGCCTCATGCCATGCTCGGACATTTCTCTGTTGCGGTGCCCCGCGTGAAGGGGCCAGACCGAGCTCTCTCAAAGCGTCTCTAGGAGTAATCCCACTTACCTCCTCACGACAACAAGCTTTTCGTACACTGTGCTTCTGAATCGCCACAGCACGACAGTTGACGACGCCACTGGACGCCAGCTCAGCGCCTGCCCGGATGGAGCATCGACCAAACTCTCGCTGGCAATAAAGTAAAGGACCTCCTTGCCAATTGAACATCGACAATCCCACGGCACATGAAGGGGAACATATACACGCTTTTCTTTCATCCCCATTCCCTCTCTGCGGTTCCTTGATCCGATTTCAACCGTCCAACGTGATGCTCTCCTCCGGTCTGGTGTACCTACCTGTGCTGGCATGTTTGTTTTCAATTTCCTGCGACTTTTTTGGGTGTTGTGGATGTTTCCATCCTCGTCCGCGTTCGTCTTCCGCCCTCTTTTCGTCGCCCGTCCCCATGGACACTGGCCGTCTGATAATGTATAGTCCGCGTGGCGTGGCGTGCGTGGTTTCCCATTCACTTCCTTGTCTCGTTCCTCATTTACTCTTTTCTTCCTTATTCTCTCTTGTTCAGCGTCCGCGCTCGGAAACATGATTCGCCACCAGCTCTCATATAAAGCAAGCATGCGGGTCTGAACATTCGCTCGGCCCTCCACGTCTACCCCTAACCCAACCCCAACCCGCGTCGGCGTCTCCTCCTCCTCGTGGCGATGAAGTATCCAGTGGTGCTCCTCTCTCTCTTGTTCCTCGTCGGCCAGGTCATCGCAGCGAAGTACACCCTCTCCGACAATTACCAAGGCAGCTCCTTCCTCAATGAATGGGACTTCGAGGCGATCGCCGATCCGACGCACGGATATGTGTATGTTTTCCCACTTTCTCGATCTCGCCGCGCATGCTCAGCAAACGCGCGCTAGTAACTATGTGAGCAAGTCGACGGCGCAGAGCAAGGGCCTCGTGTCTGTCTCCGGGTCCAACTTCACGCTGCGAGCGGACGACACGAGCGTGCCGAGCTCGAGCGCAAGCGGACGCGATTCCGTACGGATCCAGTCGCAAAAGTCGTATAACACGCACGTCACGGTGTACGTATCTCGCGCATGTTTCCAACCTTCATGTGTTTGATCTCTCAACTTGGGTTATATCTAGAATCAACATCGCGCACATGCCCAAAGGCTGTGGGTGCGTAGCTGTCGCTTCCGTTCGCATGCGGCGCTGATATATGCGCGCTTTGTATGCAGAACGTGGCCTGCGATCTGGGAGAAAGGGCCGAACTGGCCGAACAATGGCGAAGTGGACATCATCGAAGGTGGGTTGCGCGCGCCTTTCCGTCTTCTGCGTCAATGGCGCTCACGGGGCGGGTGATAGGGGCCAATGACGTGCCGCCGAACCAGTCGACGTTGCACACAAGCTCGGGTACGTCGTTCTGCCCTCCTCCATCCTTAGAGACCCCTGTACGATCGTGTATCTCGCAAACAGGATGCACGATGCCCTCCTCGCGCTCTATGACCGGGTACACGCTTCCCCGCTCCTGCTCTCCATTCTCCGGTTCTCCGTCCTGACACCACTTGGCGCGAACAGGACCGCCATAAGCAGCAACTGCGACAGCTCCGGGAGCAGCAACACGGGGTGCGGTGTCGCGTTCCCGTCGGACGACAGCTATGGGCACGAGTTCAACGTCGAGCAGGGCGGGTTCTACGCAATGGAACGCACGAGCTCGTTCGTCAAGGTCTGGTTCTGGCCGCGCGGCGCGAGCAATATCCCGAGTGACGTCAAGAATGGCGCCGGGACGATCAACACGGGTAAATGGGTGAGCATCTCCCTTGGGTTTTGCGGGATGACGAGCTGACAGGGTGCAGGGGACGCCCGGAGCGTACTTCCCGAACACGAACTGCAACATCGGCTCGCACTTCCACGACAACAACATCGTGATCAATTTAACTTTCTGTGCGTCATTTCCCTCCTTTTATGAGGTCGTAGTATTCACGGGGATGTGTCAGGCGGCGACCTCGCGGGGAACACTTACGCCAGCTCTGGATGCCCGGGGACGTGCAATAGTGAGCTTACCGCGGGCCTTTTCGCGCCTCGAGACGTTTGCTTACGGGTTTGGCTTGCTCAGGCTTTGTGCGGAATAACCCCGGCCAGTTCACGTGGGCCTACTTTCTGATCATGTGGATGAAGGTGTACGAGTAAACTCGTTATCCAATCCTCTCAATCCTCTCTTACTTCCCGATATTCCGGAGCTCGCTTGCTCGCGGCCTGTAGCCTAACCCTCTCATTTTAGCCTGTGCTTGACGCACACACATGCATACACGTCTGTATTCAATAGTAGCAGTGTTGCATTTCTTCAGGTTTCAAGGCCTCGAGATGCATATGTACATATCCTTCACGACTTGTAATGACAGACCAGCCACTATGTATCTCACTGAACATATATCGACAGATATCTGGGCAGATCCTAGGTATATCCGAGGTATTCGCAACACGAGACCGAAGATGCTTCTGCGTGGGAGATCGGACAATGGCCTGATCTTGTTCCCATCTCGCGGTCGCCGATTGCTCTTGTCTGTCAGAATGCTGCTCCCCATTGCCCCCAACGCGCTACACTACGACCCGGACCATCCTGCTCTTGGGTTCAGTGCCGTCACCACACATTTCACCGTCCGCCACAACCGCATCTCCATTCATGCATCCGATGGCGAGGCAGATCGGGTGATGCAACCCGGCCGTCATCGTGGCAACAATGGCCCTTTTTACTTCGAGCGGGTGTCCTCGGCCAACGTAAACCATCCCTCGTTCCTTCATTGGAGGGAGGAGCTTGGAGAATACATAGCGGCGGTGATGTTTGGGCGGAAGAACCAAGGTGAGTGTCCCTCTAGTTCGTTCGCAGGTTTGCGTGTGGATGCCGATGCCGATGCATGCTAACGGTTGGCATACTATCAGAGGGGCAGCCCGCGTGGGAGCTGGCATCGTGGCCGAAGAGATATACGTTCTGGGTGACTGACCAGGACAAGGGAAATGATATGAAAAGAAGCTA